AAGTGCTGACGTCACTGATGTGTTAGTCTCTGTTTATAAAATGAATGGACGATGTTTTCAAAACGTTTATTGAAAAGATAAATTAGGTTACGATACTGCTGAAAATAGTCGTGATTTTAGATAATAAATTGGTCGTTTTAGTAGGTTAATATAATTCATTTATAGTTAAGAAGTAGTTTATTAGTAGATTGACTAAAGAAGATGACGAGATAACTTAGTACTGTTTGTTGATTGTTATCTACTGTTTTCTAAGTTTAGAAATATTATCGATAAATTTTCTGACTACAATTTTCCATTGTTTTCTTTACAGTCGAAAATGTTCCATTAACATAAGTTGAAAATCGAAATAGCGCACTGCTTTTGGGACACAAGTGCATTGCGAATTTGCCATTAACAATTCGAATTTTGCATTTTAACAAGTTATCCCAATTTAGATATCGCAATTGACTACAATTTCATTTGATTCGGTACAGGACACAAATGTACCATTAACAGAATTCGAATTAATCAAAAAATAGAAATAAACATCGTACAACGCTTTAGGACATTGCGAATTTTCCATTAACAATTCGAATTTGCATCTCAACAAGTTGTTTCAATTTGGATGTCGCAATGAAATAAATAGTTGTAAACCAACAAAAACCTCTATTTGTAAGGTATTCAGACGAATTTGGATTATGGTAGAATTTACAAATTAAGACAAATACAGATTAAAAGATAATCCATCGAAACAGTTGATCTCAATCAAGCGTTTCCTAACTTTTTAACAAAATATTTGCCGTATTTAACACAGTCAAAAGCTTTCAATTAATCCAATAGCTAAATATTATTTCAAAAACAAAATGGAGGTAAAATAAGTGTCAATTTGGTTGTGGAATGACCCGTATCAGGACAATAGGGTCGATTAGTGGAATTAAGTGATTAAAATGGACAGTTAGGACCCTCCCACTATTCATAGCCCTATTATTTTACAGACCCTTCAAAATACTGTCGGAATGACCCTTACTGGCCAGGGGATGGTCAAAAGTTACTAGGTTCTGCCTGAATGGTTTTTTACGACCCGTACATTTGGCTAACAGCAAGTATTTAGTACCTGTTAGACATTAGTCGCTTGGTGGCTCACACTCGGGGCATTACTGTTTTCTATTTACCTCTCAGGCATAACTTGACTGAATCATGCAAGCGAGTTGGACTAATTTTGCACCGGCTCCTCATTTTGGATATCGCCATTGTGCACCTAATTTTATAAACGATCAATTTTCAGGTAGGACGTTTTACATATTTCTTTTCTCATTATTTTCGTAATTATTTTGTACTTGTTTGAACTAAACATTTGGCACAACGTTAGATTTTTTTTTACTTCTGCCATTTGCGAGTTATCTAATCAAGTTGAACCCATTTGACGTCTGCGACAACTTTAATGAGTTTGATTCACCTTAAAATATGTCCAAAGCAGGAAAGTTTTTTGCTAATTTGCTATTCAACCAAAGTAAATGGCAGTGATTTCTTGGAGGACTCGATTGTATAAATCAAATTGTACGACGTGCGAACTTCATTTGTATTGCCATGGGACGTCTGTCATAAAATGTTTTGTCAGTTCTGTAAATATTTTAAATTTTAAACTTTTCAATGCACTGATTTCTTGAAATGGTTGGATACTTTAAAACAAGTTGAACGTGACGTAAGATTTTTGTTGCCTGACATAGGACGTCTGTCACAAATTGATTTCTAAGTTTTATATAAATATTAGAAATGTTCAATAAACTGATTTAATTTTCCTTCTGCAAAAACAACTTATCGTTTGGCCTACGTATTGGCGTCACTTGCTTGTACGTTACGTGAAATACTGGCAAGGGACATATTATGTATTTATAAAATTTGATTAGAGCAATGTATTGTTATGATACTATAATTTTTTCATTATAATAACCATATTTGTTTTCACTTTATTATTATTTTATCGACCACAAATCGTTATTTACGGCCATTGTCGAAACCTGATCTATCTTTCCATATCATTCCTTCATCGAATCGACTCAAATCATTATCATTAAAATGCGCCTTTAGGCTACAGACAGCACTTTGTTGTGCATCCATTCAATTTGTATTCTCACTTTGAATGCAGCTTTTTAGTCTTTGAGCAATTGAAATTTATTTTTCCTATATTTTGTCTTTGTACGTAAATAGCCTACGTAATTGATATATAGAATATATATACGTATATCATCCAAATTAGATTTACATCTCTTAATTACATCTGATTTTTATTAGATTTTCATTTCAACTTTCAAAAGTTTTAACGTTTTGATTGAATTTTTGTGTAATTACTACTAGTGAGTGAGCAGTTTTCGTAGTAAAAGAAATGTGTAAATGAAAACGTATATTATTTGTTTTGAGATGAATATTTAAAGGCTTCTGAATACAGAAGGGAATTTCAGATTGATTCAACAGACGACATCTAACGGGGGCGTACAAAAGTAGTATTTTTACGTCTGTTGGTTGTGTAAAAAAAAGATATAACACAGTTAATCTGAAACGAATTACGTTTGAGGGCAATGGGTAAAATAAAGTTTACAGTTGTAGTAAAAAATAGGCAGATATATAAAATGTGAACGAAACATCATTAAGTAATAGAATATCTTTGATCCTTGTGTCGAACGCGCCTTGGTATTTATTTACATTTATGTGATTGTTTTCCTTTCTTTTTTTGCTGTACATACATCATGTTTATTTCGAAAACCTGGAAAACCAATCAAGTGGATTATTATATCTCCTTCTCAAAACATTCACATAACATTTGATGCTATGAATTTCTGCTTAAGTCTTTAAGATGATTTTTCTTTGCTAGTCAGGAATGTGTACTATTGGCTGTATCTTTATTGTGTTATTTCATATTTTAAACATGTTATTTTTTACAGGTTTTGACTTCTACACTGAACTGAAAATATGGCAAATTATTATAGAAAATAATATACTTGGGCAATTTTCCAGTATCGTTTCATAGAACAAATTAATTTGTAAAGATATAATGAATTTCATAGAAAATTTATTTTTTATTACATTGAGAATATCATACCCCCTTTGAATTCTGCTTAACAAATTTGCATCTTTTGCAAATAATATTGTTCGGCACTTGAAGCAAATGTTTCACTGCAGTTCATTATATTCAGTTTCAAAGAGCCGCTGAATTTTTTAAGTGGGGGATTTTTTGTGCCCACTTTCAAAAAGAATAATCAAAATGAACACTTAGCCTACTTGAATGGCCATTCAATACGCCTATATCTTTTAAAATACTAATGTAAAATGGGCGAATATTTATTGAAGAAATGTAAAGGCCTTGTTCACGTCCTGATTGAATCTTTTTAAAGTATGGCATCTCGTTAAAAACTTGTGTTGAAAGAGTTAGAGTAAGGTGGGTTGGGTAGCTAGGATGTCTAACAAGAAGTAACATTGAATAGGTTGAATACGGAGAATAAATGAAGTCATCGAGGCGTGGAAAAGTTCTCTCTTGTTATTGCCCCTTCAACGAGGCTATTTTGTTAATATTTTTCTCTCTATATAACAAACATTACTTGACGATATTTTTATAAAATAGACATCTTTTGATTGTTGTCGAGATACTTCACATTCTCAAATATTGTGATTTGTATAAAATAAATAGAAAGCTTCTTCTTGATTTGTCATTTCTTCACTTTTAACTTTTCTTTCTAAATACTTATGTCAATCTTCAAATGGACGAACACAAAATTTCTTAAATTGAAATAAAGAACCTTTTGTTACTAATGAATTTACTCGAACTTCTTGATCTTTTCTTAGTATATGAATCAAACGTCAGCATTTTGTGTGCATTTTCCATTACATAATTTTAGGCGTCACCAAATTCAACTTCAGACGTCGCCACATTCAATATGCACACATTTAACTGTTATTATTTACATTTTAATTAATTTCTGAAATCTGCGCGTGATTAAAAAGATTTTTTAAAATTTATTTTCATTTTGCATATGGTACATGTTGACCGTCTACCACAAGCTTGCGTTCGAAATCACAGAAATTTCGTTGCTTTTACAATAGAATAGCCAAGTTCTATTTTGTAAATTTTGCCTTTTTATGTATATTAGTAGCACCCTTAGTAATATCAGAATACATTCATAATTATTAAAGTGTTTCCATCAGAATGACCAAGTTTTTTTTGTACATTTTGCCTTTTTATGTAAATTAGTAGCACCTTTGGTAACATCAGACTTAATACATAATTATTAAAGTGTTTCCATCAGAATGAACAAGTATATTTTGTACATTTAGTCCTTTTATGTAAATTGGTAGAACCCTTAGTAATATCAGACTACTAGGTGTTGTTGTATAAAATAATTAAAAATCTCTGTACATTTTTGATTGTTAATTATTTGCTTTATTGGCGAACTTTATTTAAAGTGCACTTCTCTACTAGTCTACAAATGATATGGCATTTTAAATTTCATGAAATATTCAACAAAATATTCAAGCATAACTGCCCTGAATATGATTATACACGTATTCAGCCAATTAAAATGGTATAATATATGTTTTGTATTCGGTTATCAAGTTGTACGTAAAGATAATATCAATTAAAATTGAATATATGTATAAAATTACGCATCTTAAAAATTATAATATACAAATGTTTAAATATTGCGTGGAATTATATTTTTAAAAAAATGCTGAAATCTTTCACTGTGACAAGAAAAAAATATGTGAAATACTGCCTAGTGGTATGAAAAAACAATTCGTATCATGTAAAAGGCAGACATCGAATCGGGATTTTAGGTCATCCTTGGACGGAGAATAAAAAAAATGGTATACCCCCAAAAAAATATCTGAATATGATTTTAATGCTTAAATCATTTTGAATTTTTTACAGTTGAATTTTTTATGACGACCCATCATTATACGTGGATAATTTTGGAATCTTTTCTCATAGGTTAACATTAAACTAAATTGTTGATAATTTTTTACTTACAGGTCATGGGGGTGTGAACCAGTTAGGAGGCGTCTTTGTCAATGGCAGACCCCTACCGGAAGTAGTAAGAAACAGAATAGTAGATTTAGCACACCAAGGTGTTCGACCATGTGATATTTCAAGACAACTCCGAGTTTCACATGGCTGTGTTAGCAAGATATTAGGAAGGTAAGTTGTCCAAATTTATTTTTCATTCTGCCATGACTATCAATCAGAAAGAGTACCCAAAAATAAAAATGGCGGATTCCTGAAAATATGATCAACGTTTACAAGACCCTGTTATCATAAATAAATGTAGCTGAATTTACAGTGATGCTAGTGTTCAAGTTATCGGAGTCAGATTTGTTAATTAAAAATAAGGTTCTTAAGGATATCTCAGAGTTCTTGTTAACCTGATGATACATCTGTACCCGAAACATGTATCACAAGGTTTGACCATCATATCATGATGTTTCGGACAACAAACCTAGGAAACATAACTTATGATAAGTTTCAAGTGATACATTTGTTTACACTTTAGTTTTGCTTTGTTTACATTGGTAACCATTGTTTTCATTTCACTATTAAGTGTTGGTCAATGATTTTGGCTATTATTTCTGGAAGGCACTCAAGTCTCATCTAGGACATACTGATAATAGACTTTAAGTAGAAGATGGTGTCTAACGCTGGTCTGATCTTTATCAACTGATGAGCAGATCGAGAGCAATTTGCTAGATGGTCTTTAACTTGGCAGACCGGTAGTTGATAATGAGACCTTGTTTACTCTTCATATTGCCAATGTATTGTTTTCCTATAACGATTCAGTGTTGAAACTGAACAGTCGTGATAGAAAGGCTTTAATTTACTTGATTGCCGAGTCCATATTTTTTTCTGCTAAATTGCTTCGGGCAACAAAATATTATCAAACTTGCCATCTAGCTTGATAAAAGGCGGGTTGAGCGCTCGGCATTCTAATAATAACGATTTGTGCTGATTTCAATTATTGTCATAAAACTCCCTTATTTTAGCTTTGTTATACTATTATTAAATTTTCGACAAAGTATTTTTTTATTATTTTTCATCAAATTTCAATTTGCCAGGTGTTGTTGGTCAAGGAAACAGGGAAAAAATGAAAAATATTAAAATTAAAATTGGTTCTTATTTTTTTGGTCCGAAATTTTGATTGCTGTTGCTGAAATATTGTTTGCTGAATATTATCCTCTCATTATCCAAAATTTTCTCCATTGTAAACTGATTGATCTTCATTATCGTCCATTAAGAAGAAAAGCTTCCTTTAAATATTTTTATTTCGTATAGTGAAAATGAATTCAGCTGGTTGTTTACATTTTTCATCCATAGCCCTTCTATGTCAGTTCGTAAGCTAATTGTCATTCATAGATTTAGGCAGATCTTTTATGAACCAAATAACCTTAAAAACAGAAGAAAAAAATGACAGATCTTAATTTCTCTGATATCCCTTAATTTGGATCATTTTGCTAAAATTTCGGTGATTTGAGGCTCGTATTTCTGAGTGGAAATGATAGAATGAGAAACGTTAGAAGTGAAAGATAAATCAACTCGCGTGACAAAACTCAGTCAGACAATAATTCTCAAGTTGTTTGATAGCCGAGTCTATTGTACTGTTTTTTGTTCCAATTTGGCATCGCTAATATTTATGGTTAGATCTATGTACATTGATAAAATCCTACGGCGATTATTTAAAAGGAAGGAGCATGCTCGTGTTACGTTCACTGTTGAGACATTAACATGTAGCGAACAAAGTAGCACGCAATCGAAACACGATTTTCTAATTATTGCCTTCAATCCATATTTACATAGAATTCTTAAAACTTTGACATTAATAGTCAATATTGAGATTTTTATGAATAAGAATTCTTCAAACTAATATAAAGGCCTTTGCATGTTGAAATTTCATATCTTTGCAACAATGGTGTTATTTATGGGAAATTAGCTTGGACAAAAATAACTGCTCTGTAAATTATGGGGGAAAATAGCTTGCAAATTAAGAAATGTTTTAGTATGCAAAAGCTTGAGACAAACAGTAACCTCTTACTGCTTTGGAAATTCTGGAAGAAAAGTTTGGAAATTGAGCAAGATTTGTAGAGTGCAATAACTTGAAGAAAATAGTAACCTGTTACTAGTAACAGCATAATTGAGCAAAAGGATACGTTTCGGCTTTAGGAAGATTTGTTTACAATTGAAATATCTCGAGAGGGAAGCAGTTGTTTTTGACCTCTCAATACTATAGGTGTATATTAATATATTAAAACAATTTTAAAGGTCTAATTATTGTGATACGCATCAAAACATGGATTTGTTTGTGTGGAAAGAAAAATATAAGAGTATCGGATAAAGCGGATCTGAAGTTGAAAATTATCGTATTTATAATTGACCATGTGAAGTGGTGTGGAAGAGGGACTACAAGACGGTAGAAGGTCGATTGCTAAGCACCAGGCCGAAACCTATCGCAGTGTCAACAAGTACACTGAGCATGTCTTCAGTCTATTACCTTGTAATTATGTTACATTATGAAAATTAATAACCCTTTTGCCTCAGTGCCTCTCATTTAAATAACATTGAAATTTTATATGGCATTGAAAATATCATACAGCGTTATATATGGACTCCCATTGATATTAGTTTTGACTTTAATTTTAATAGTAAATTGTCTCCCTTTGTTTTGAAATTATTGTTTTTATGCCAGAGCGAAATTACAATAAGCCATTGCCATTTTTCCAGAATTCGAATTCTTTGCCACATTTTAACTCTTCAGCATTTTAAGTGCTAGATGTGAAAAATGCGACGGATGTCTGTTAGGAAGTAGACATAATTACTCTTCTAAAACACCTACTGACACTCTTTCACAGTCCATAGTAGAGTACCTGCATGGTATATATATATCGTAATATAAGCATTGATCTCAGAAGCAAATTATCTTCATAATTTAATTATTATCTTTGCTTGATTTTTATCTGAAGTTAATTAGTAAAATAAAGAATAAGAATATAAACAATTCAAGAATTCAATTAAATATATTAGATACATATAGAACTTTTTATTGTCTACAAATACAAAGAACTTATATTGTAACTTAAATATCTATGAAAAAGGAAAATCAATTTCCATAACGATTTTTGCACGCCACATTTTCTGCCGTCCGTTCAGAATGAAAAATTTGTTGTAATTTAAAATATGATAATTTTGCACCTTCAATGAAGTCTTCATCATATATTCAAGAATTACTATTGAAATTTTTATTTTCGTTCCACAGACCGTTTCCTCCAAATTCGACCTTTTGTACGAAATTGCTATTGTTTCGTTTCGGCTTTAATCTTAAAAATTTGCACGACTCGAGTGACAGGTTGCGCCTTAAATTAGGATTAGTTTTGATCATTGAAAATTATACCGATTCTAGTTAATAGAATCAAAATGCAAACACATGTTTCCTATTCATGAACACTTGTAGTCTTTTCACAAATTTATCGATCTCATATACCTGACCTTAAATGAAAACAGAAAACAAAGTCAGTCAGTATTTTTGCTTGTAGACTGTACACACGTGCTACCAATCTATAGTGCAACTTGCATCAAGCACGGTACTTGTCATACGCATCCGTCAACATGTTCACATTCTGCTGAAAATATGTAAATGAATCTTGCAGCTCCATGTGTATAGATCCAAATTAACATAATCTGGCTGAATTATGAAGTATATTGTTAGATGCACCATAAAAAGACCATGCTGTTTTAGTTCCAGGCTTGATTCTAACAAATGTTTTTAAACATTTTATTACTTTGAAAAATTCAATCTGAATATAATCTAGTTTTATGTTCGTATCAAGTGAAAGTGTACTCCATGGCATAGAGTCACATGTGTTGAATTGAACCATCAAAATAAATAGAGCTAGGAGATATAAAATTTAATGTCACTGTCATCAGTGGAGGTTCGATTTCACGTTAGATCTGAATTTTGGTTAGCAGTCTTAATAATTCACGAGTTATTGCTCGTGTCATGACAATATAACGTTCATTGCTCACTGCATGGCGTTGAACATTTAGATTAGCAATTGAAGGGTTTATTTTAGCGAATTCAAGGTGCAATCTTGTTATTTTCGTCATGCTAAGGTTATGTCAAATATTTTTAATTTCGGTAGAATATTCGATCAAGGCTGAAAAATAAACAAAGAATTTGATACGTGATAATTAAATTCTAAGTAGGCATTACTCATAAGAAAAATACGTTATTCTTACATAGACTTATCCTAGATGATGAAAATTATTTTTTACCGTTACATTGTGTTGAAAGTAGGAATACATCCCCGAATAATAAAGATACAGACACCTTTTTATATCAAATCTATTGTACTCGAGAAAATACGAGAGACGACGAGTCTGATGCTTTTATTATCTTTTTTGAAAAAGAGCAACATGTTAGTGTAGAGCGACATCTAGTGTATTGTATATTGAACTAAAGATAGTTAATCGAGTATTGAGAACTTCGGCTTGGGGTTATTCTTTAAAGACTGGTTTTTGATAGACTTAACGTCCCTTTCTAAAAACATCGATCCAGTTTGCCTAATGAAGTGTTGGACTCTTTAGTTTGACGACGAGACGTGCCAATAAGGCCTTGAGGTGTTTTCTTTTCTATCATTTTGTTGGTCTTTTCTTTGGCTTAAAAGCATGCCGTTTAGTTAAATATGATTATTATATAGCTCTGACTAAACAGCTGTCCTTTTTTGGTGGCTTAAGAATCAAAAGTGCTTCAAGGGCTTTTTACAAGTATGAAATTGTATTTAAATAATATATTGATATGAAGACCCCTTTAAGGCGTTTTAGAGAATTCTAAAATTGCTTTTTATAAGCTGTTTTGTTTATTTGTGTTTGACCTGAAGTTGGTAACAAAATGTCGTTCTTTCGGAGGACTATATATGATATTCACAATTCAAGATCATAAATCTCGAGTTTATAAAATCCCAATGATCACAATTTAATCACAATTATTACATCACAATTTGAACAATGTTATACCCAAAGTCTTTAATATTATTTTTATTTTAAAAAGTGATCAAAATCAAAATTTCACTGATCACAAAATTTTCACGATTATTATATTAAATCGCAATTTGAGAAAATGTCATACCATGGGTCGATTTTATAAATCAAAACTCCAAATGGTCACGATCAAAATATTATCACGATAATTAAATCACAAATTGAAAAAAAAATGTCACACCAAGAACATATAATAAACAGAAATAAGTTATCAATATATCACAATTGGCAATTTATTATATCACAATAGATAATATAATAACGTTATCACAAATCTATATAATAAAGTAATATGATATGTATAGTGTAGATCTAAATGCAATTATCTTTCATTGATAATCACAATAAATAGAACTTGTTTACTTGGCAGTGTGTTTATCTAGATTTATTTGCTGTATATTGATTCAATTAAATCAAACGAAAGGTCAGGCGGAATTTAATGTTTTGCAGTAAGATTGAAGTGTCTTGCTTCTGGAACGCAAATTTTAGATGAAATTTCCTTAAAATGTCATTTAAATACAAATTTTGTTATAATAATTGAAATTTTATGTTATATAGAAACATGCATTGATATGTCAACAGTCGTCAAAATAGGTTTCCTGATATCACCTTACGATGTCGGTTACAACCTGCCTTCTATATGCAAATCGAATCCATTTTCTTCTAGAATTATCATGCAAAATCACTAAACGAATGTAAACACTGTCACATCATGCATGGCATAAGGATTCTGATTCTTTGCAGTGATTATACTTAATTTTCACTTTATGGCCAATACTTTTCTTTCTCATCTTAACTAAAAGAAAGTCATGATGGGGAATAAGGAAATGGATAATAAAATAAACCTGGTCATGAATATTCATGAAGCTAATAAGATAAATCAATTGTCTTCCTTGATCTAGTGATAATTATCTAGAGATATTCCATTAGTAGATTTCTTTCTACTTATCTCAAGATACCAATCTCTTCTGAACTTTGTCGCTGAAGTTTTAGAAGACTGAGCATTCTCAAGTTATGCGATGATTTTCTTTGGTCCAAGTTCAAAACAAGAATGTTTTGATTTCCATGGTCTTTGATTAGCAATTCACAAACATTGGTCTTTGAAGGAGTATTTTTGGTAGTGGTGTTTTGCTTATATTGTTGGTCCAGCTTTTTAAAGCTTGTTTACAACTGGGTTATATCATGGTCAAAGTCAAGGACTTTTTTCTAACGCATTCAATGGATTGATAATAATTATGATGAAGAAGGTTTAACCCTCCAAAACTGTAATTAACCCGTTCTCATTGACTTAAAGTGAATAAACTTTGGCCTTGGCCAGTTCTTTTATTGGACATATCTCGACCCACCCAAACATACAACTAAGTCTTTACTTTCACTGTAGCTTTTAAATACAAAAAAATCTTTTATTTTCAGATATTATGAAACCGGTTCCATTAGACCAGGGGTAATCGGTGGTTCCAAACCTAAAGTCGCCACACCGAAAGTCGTAGAAGCAATCACCCACTATAAGATAGACAATCCCACAATGTTTGCTTGGGAGATTCGGGACAGATTATTAGCTGAAAATGTGTGTACCCAAGATAATGTCCCTAGTGTGAGCTCAATAAATCGGTAAGCTTTTTATTTCGTAGATTTCGGTTTTTTTTTAACAAATCATGCTTTTCAAGTGCTTACTGCGTCATAATTTCGTATTAGTTACAATAATGTACATATAAAAATTATGTAAAAAAAAAATACATATATAATCAAATTATAATTTTCCAAAATTCATTTTTAGCCAAAAAAAAGAACATTAAAATCATTCAGCGAGATATAATTAGATGAACAAAAGCGCACAACCCTAAATTTCTGTACCATACTCTTAACAAAAGGAGGTAAAAAATGACAATAAGGAAATAAAAAGCGAAAAGTATTCAATTGGACGAAGGTATCATTAAATTTCGTATTAAGTTCTATGGAATAATTTTATTTCAACGTATAAGTCAAATTAACCTTCATTTGATGTCTATTGATGTGCTGTATGTCAAAATTGTGACGACCTGTCAATGAGACGGAATCTCTTGTGTATCTGGAAGGGTTAACGCTGTCAACAAGTTACTATATAATTACTCAGTCATTGAAAACGAAAATACGCCATTGACAGTCGCAGCATGGTTAAGTGAATGACAGCCAGTTTTGGGGGTTGTTCGCGTTCATATATTATAAAGATAATAAGTAGGCAATATAAAGATTTCTTTTAATTGGCGACAGTGAATTAGGATGTACTTAGAATACTATTTTCTCCAATTGCTATGAATGAATAAGACAAATTTTTTCTAGAATATTTACTATTTATGTGGTTATGTTTAAAATAATTATGTACAACAATCATACATATAAACATTATCGTATACGCCTAAAAGATTTGCTTGCACTCAAACCATCTTGATTTTTTTCTTTTTTTCTTGAAAATCCATGTCCGTATTTCGATACTTGGGTAATTTAACATTAATCAAAACATTTCGAGATGTAGACCTTAATACTTGAACGAAATATTGCTATAAATGTCGTATTAGCATGATGATCAAAGGGTTGATTTATACTTATTAACGCCTAAAGTACATCGGGTTTTTTTTAAATTTTAATCCAAATGAGGGTACGAATACAGAGATTATATTTAACAGAATAATAAACTCAAGTTATTCCTTCAGTAATTTTTTTTTATAACAAATCCTCACACCAGATTGAGAGAAGAAAAAAACAATTTAGAATTAATTAAAATGGTAGGGGTTATTTTGCCCTTTAACTTAATTTCTAAATTCATCAATAATACCAGCCATTTGAGGATTTATTTTATTCTTTTGACATTTTAAAAATAACTTGTTTTAAACAAGAGATTAATGTCATTATTTTATTTTATTTTTCCCTTCAAAACATCTGTTAAAATTAGATTGTTCATTTTACCCATTGAACAAGTGCCCTTGTTATCGGTGTCATATGGGTTCTTATTAAGTACGTTATTAAGGGCATAACCTAAGGAGAACATTTTAAGCCGTGTCTTTCTACAGACTTTGCTGGTGTCCTTTGAATTAGGGTTGGGAAATATCATTAAAGTCGCTACGGGAGGCAATTCATATACCTCTTGTTCAATAAAAATTAAATCTTTAACAACTAAGTACGAATATGACAAAAATAATCTCAAGTTCTCATAGTCGTTCAAAAACTACAGCGACCTTTCTTGACTTTGATTTTGAATTGTCTTTTGTTTTTCACTCGTGTAGATATAAAATTATAGAAACTTGAGAAAAAGCGACTATTCTGTAGTTGTATATTTATCATGACCAAATCCAAAAGTTCCCAAGCTTTTCTGGCATGTAGTATAGGTTTAAAAAAGTTTCTATTATTTTGTTGTTTTGGGGGATTTTGACAGGAAAGTTTGAAATTTGTACTATATCTACCAGACTGTGGGAATAGAAAAGTAGAGCTTTCACCTTGCAGAACACATTAAATGCCTTTTCACTCGTGTGTGATTGTAAACGGTGATAATCCAATGGCTTACAAATGCCTATCATTGCTATATAAATATATGAAAGGAACGGGAAGTATAGGTATTATTTACAACAAAATACATCTTCTTATATCTTAAGTCAAAATCTAGCAAACTAGAAGTCTCAAACCTACAATTTCTCATCTCCACAACTTATCTCTCACAAAAGCCTATCAAAACATATCATACATACATTTTTCATACGTAGCATTAAAAGGCTATTATCCCTCTCATAAATTTTGCCTCGGGCTTTTCATCTGATGGAGTAGGTTTTTATTCAACTCTTGGGTCCTTTTATGCAATTTTTCTTATCGCGATCAACGATTTTCTTTTAGTATTCAGGTCTTTTCATAAAATGTTCGCAGTAGTTTAATATCATAAACCTTGCATCGAAATTATTGTTTTTAGTTCCTTTGAAATCGGTTCACTTCAAAGAAAAGCGACGTTTTTAGGTATCGAATTATGGTTCCCACATTTCTAAGCAAGTTTATGTTCCCTTTAAATCTAAGAGATATGAAATGACCGATGTTTGAAGGCTAATATTAACCATTTCTCAGCCGATTACAATGAATTATAGCAATCCACACGAGACAAGTGCTGTTCCTATTCTGTACTGTTATGATCCTCCATTGTTCTGACCGTTTGTTATCTTTTAACATTAAAGAGTTCCTCAATTGGACAGGAGTCGAAATCACCTCTATTACAAAAGAGTTACGCCACACTTCATGCCAGATTTGTTCTGTTTGGGTCTATTATTTCGATGACTATGAGCTCCTTTTATTGCCTTGCACTACAAATGTTTCAAGATTTACACCCAAGAGCGAGATTCCGTGAAGCGGAAGGGCTTAATCAATCTAATGCTCTTTAAATGTTACCGAATTTAACTACAGCTGTCAAGAAGTTTTTTTTCTATAATTCGAAATGAATTCGTATCGTAATAAGAAACGCAAGATTTCAACTTGTTATAACTTTATACCTAATAACATTATGAATTTATACGTTAAGTGAAAAAGCAGGTACGTAATTGGCGAGGGTCAGGGAGTGTAAAATGTGAATTTCAAATTAATTTTCGGATTAAAATTAGTAGATACGGGCTCGAGTGTAGAACTGTAGAACCAACAACTTATCACCAGATGGGAGATAGGGGTAGCCCTTCTGCTTCAGCTACTAGGATGGAATTGTCTCCGTGCCGACTAACAGAAAAGGAGGGACACATCGTTAATTAAATGAAGCTAATTCTGTATCAGGAATTGAACTGTAAAACTATAATGAATACAAACAAGGCTATTCTAAACCGTTATTTCTCCTAATTTTAATGACTGAATTGAAAAGAGCTGGTCCTTTTCATTACTCTTGTCCCTTTAAAGTCTTTACGGCCATTGCGCCTTCAAAAACATTCTTGCAATGTATTCAAACTTCACCCAAATCGAATTTTGCGAGTCGATGATCTTGTTCTAAGCTTATACAAAACCTCTCCATATTTTGCTTTTGTTGACGGGGCTTGGAAGAAATTAATAAAAAATACAATATTATTAAGAATAGAGGATAATGAATTTCAAGTAGCCAAAGTTCTGTCTGTGCCCACATGTCGCATATTTTCATCTTAAGAAATGAAACGACTTTATGCACTTTGCTGTCACTATGAATTAATTTGCACTTTTTATCTTATTCACAGCATTAAAAGACATGCAAACAAATGATTATTAATTTCTCAGAAATAAGAAAAACGCCAGTGTTTTTCTCGAGTTTGGTGTGAGAACGACTTCGTTTGATTGACTCTCATACAATCACCCATTTAACATAAAAATAACAGCTTTAAAGCCTTTGAAAAAAAAAGTTTTACGTTCTTTATATTGAGTGTCTTTATTGGTGTATAGAGTTAAACTCTTTTAAAAGAAAGTGTAGCTCTTTATATTTGAAGAGTAAAAATTTTAAATGTATATATTTCAATGGCCGGCATATTTGATCGATCAAAGGCAGTTTTACGACGTCGATCTGTACACATTATTCTTGCCTATTTCAACAATGAAGTCTTTAGTCCATTCGAGAGGAATACAGGGGGTGCGGATTAAGACTAATCGAGTGATTAGGTTCACTATAATAAAAGTAATCCGTACATCTCAAATGGCGTTCTCCGTTCAAAATTGACGGTGCGTATCCATGCGCGGCCTATCATATTGCCAATTTGGATCCTGTGGTTAAATTTGGGTTTGACTCCCCGTCCCGAAACAAATACGACTTCATTTGCCTGTGACGAATCACTTTTAACTTTTAATTCTTTCTTTTGACCATATTTAATTCAAATCTGTCGGAAAATTCATTTATATCAAACTCAACTTAATGGAAGATGTCTTTCAGAAGGAATTAACTTTCCATTTCTTTCAAATTGTGTTTTCTATTGAACAATTTCGCTCATCTAGACTACACACAAAGCTTTCCCTTTCCACCTTTCTAGAGTGTATTATAATAAGTTCTTCAATTTGTAACAGATTTTCTGAAAATGAAATTTCCATACGGTAACATATTGTAAAGAATTCCAAAATGGCGGATATGCACCTGTTTTCCCGCCTCAAGATCAAAGGTGTACCAACATTTACAATTTCCCAGATTCTTGAATGGTTAAATTGTGGTCTGGATCGTCCATTTCGTTAACAAGAGGGTGTTGAAAAGCTCATCAAAGTATGAAAAATGAGATATGATGATGTTATTTCTTGTCTGATAAGCGATAACACGTTGGTTAAAAAACAGTGGCTAAAGTAATCAACCTTAGTGAATGCCACATTTTCCTTACCCAACATATGTTCTTGGCGATCAAGCATAATACCTGTTAGAAATGGGGCGGTAAATTTAGATGACATGCCCGCCTCTTTTGAACACTTTCCTGAAACAACAGACGTGAAATGAGAATCAAATCTGCTCGCTACTCTTCAAAATGTTTTACATATTTATGATAGGTGCTAGTTAATTATTTGTGAAATTGGACATATATATCATCATAAAAAACCCTTTCAATTAAGAACGATAAAACGTACTGAAACTACCCCAAAATATGTTCGTGGTTCATAAAAGAAGCATACAGATTGCAAAAT